CTACGGTTTGAGTTTAGGGTTTAGGGCTTGAGGAGCTCCAGCTCTTCGAGCTCTTCTCCAACCTTCGGCCGCTCATTCAGGACTGCGCCGCGTCGCCGGGTGCCCAAGAGCTACTGCAGAGATGCACTCTGCGTGTCCAGGCCAGATGAATTGCCCTTCATCATTGGCAGAGACAAGTGCAGTCCGAGCCTGTAGCTCCCGGACGCAAACAGCGTCGAGAACTGCACTCAGGGTTAGGCCAATGTAGGACCAAAGTAGGAACTTCCGTTTGGGGACCTGGCTGTCACACAACAGGTGTGACTAGTAGCGGTGAGTCAGCGCGGATACCGGAAGCTCACAGGTGATGGATCTGCACACCAGTTGGTTCAGAGAGTTTGAAGCCTGTTGAGCTTGTCGGCTTCTCGTTGTTATGGTGCTGTGCTGCAGAACAGCGGGGATGATGCAAAAAGGGCACATGTGCATTGCCGGCAGAGACATTTGCTGTTCCAACCAGTTCAGAAGTCACGAGGGTCTTGAATACCAGCGCCGTGCCACATGCCCGTCACAGGGTCCAGGGGTCAAGACAGGAGATCAATCACGACTAACTGCACTGCTAGAGCGAGATCATGTTGGAGCCAGTGGAACACCGTGAGAGCGGTAGCACGAGGAGAGCAAGCAGCCATCAGCGTGCCAACACTGCCAGCATTACCACAGCTTGGCACAGGGCACTCCGACAGATCTTGCAGCACGATGTTCTGCGGCCCTTGAAGGGGGCCGGCAGACAACCCGCCTGCGCAGATCAGACACGACCTCAGTGAGAAAAAAGCTTGCCAGGATCTAGAGCAGTCGGGTGGACTGTTCGCCAAGATAAGTTCGGCGATTGTGATTTCCCCGATCCCGCGCACGAAAGGCAGCAGGCTATTCTTGTCTCTTAGACGTAAACTGTGCCTACCTACCCCTACCCCGCCTACCCCCACTACCCACCTGCCCCACCTATCTCACCTACCCGCAACCAACCCTGCAGTCAGGCTTTGCGTAAGAGGAGGGAACGAGCTCATTCACGCAACCATGCGCATATGGCTTCAGGCTACACCAGAAAACTCTCTTGCTTGGAGGTGAAAGCTAGTTCAACAGGCCCCTACCTCAAGCTTCTCGACAGCCTTAACATCAATGTGCTATGCTCCTTTCTATCTTATGGGGCCTAAAGGAGTGAATCCAGCAGGAGCCTGTTACCCCCCTAAGGAGTGAAACCAGCGACAGTGCCCCGTATCATCCAAAGCCATTTTGAAGCCTTCGCAGTTTTGCAGTTAGGCACGCAGGATGCACGGAACGCGGGCTCCCTGAAATTAGACGATCTCAGGAGCCACACACTCCCTGGACACTAGTCTTGTTATGTTCAAGACGCCCCACACGCTTGCGGACAAAGGCGAAGCCTCCGGTTAAATTGAATTTCGGGGACGGCATCAACTCCATTGAGGAACTTACGAGTGGTTCGGTTGCTCAAGTTGGAGGCAGTCCGGGGGAAAATAGGGCAGGTTTGGAATTTGGACGTCGTCTTACCCCATAGGAGCCAGTCGCAACCTCGAGCTGAAAGTCGAAGGGACCGGGCCCCAAACCAGTGAAAACACGTGCGGGAAGCAGGCGTGGGGGGAGTTCTGTTCTTCTTCGGGCAGTGTGGAAGAAGAGAGCGCGCGCGGGTCGAAACAAACAATAAGTGAGATGATGGGGGCTCTGGGAAGAAGAAAGAACAGAGGTCCACATGCCAAAAGCTCGTGCGGCCCAGGATGGCGGGGCGGGAGGTCGTGCCGCGGACCTGGCCGTCGCTTGGCGGAGCTTCAGCCGGCAGTTCCTCGAAGTTGACTTGGGCTCCGTTTTCTGACTTTCCTGTCTTAGGTCAGGGCTCAATGCAGCCGAGCGCATCAAGCAGCGGCCTTGCATTCTAGACTTCAGACAGAGGACAGATCGCAGCGGCAGGGCCGAACGAGAGCAGCAAGGCGGCGCGGAGGACGAGGAGGCCTGAACCCCGGTGACTGGTTGAGTCGCACAGTCTTCGCTTCAGGTCTTTGATGAGCTGCTATGGAATCAGCAAGCTTCCCCCCGAGTTACCACACATGAAGGCATTGAACTTGGTGTGAGCTTTTGGATTCCGTTGTTGCGAGGTCACTGACCTGCACCGGGTCATGGAAGTGGCGAAGGCACCCCGAAGCTTCGACGGAAGTTCAGGAACCATAGAGTCACCAGAGGCGCTTTAGAGGACCTTGTCTCCGATTCGCCAAGCACAAGCCACTCCCCTGCTCCAGTCTGTCTGGCTTCTCTTGGAGCACAGCAACGAGGCAAATTCCCCCCCGCCAACTCCAGACCTTGGCTGTTTTTTAGGCAGCAGCTCAAGGCCATGGTGCGCGTAGCACTGGAGATTGCCTTGGACCGGAATTATAAGAAAGTCCTTTGGTGGCCCGACTTCTGGCACGGCCACCCAGCTCTTTTTGAGTCCACACGCTCCTGTGAACCGCCTTTGGCGGCTCCAAGGTTTTCGGACCACGACAAGCGTGAATATTTCAAGGAGCGACGTCGGCCTTAAGAGCATCTAAGAGCCCAAAAAAGCCACCCCTCAGGAGATTGTGAGGATCAAGCTCGCCATTGCCATCGCCAACGCGAAAGGTTCGGCGGTGGACCTCTCGGCCCCGGCCTTGGAGCGGCCTTTTTTGAGCGCCCGAGAGCCCCGAATGACGGTCGGCGGGGAGTCTTCCTGGCGGTTTTCTGTATAAGGAGTTTCAGAAGAACGAGGAGGAGAGCGAGCCGCGCGCTTGAAGCGCTCCTACGCGGCGCGGGGGCGCGGCGGCACTGGGGGGGGGGGGGGCTTTCAATCAGGTTGGTGATCGGGCTGCGGAAGAAGATCTCCGAGCTGGAGGCTTCGTTTCTATCTCCATTGCAGCTGAGAGCTTCTTCTGAGCCGGCCCTCCGTCGAACGCGCAGGAGGCGCTCCGGATGGCCCGGCAAGCCCAGGAGGCCGCCGAGGCGCGCTGCCGGGAGCTGGAGGCGGCGGCCGCCGAGGCGCGGGGGGGGAGGGGGTGGGGAGCAGTCAGAGAGAGCCTAAAGAGCAAGCTGCTGAAAAAAGGTGTAGGGTTTATAGGGCTTCATTACATGGGTTGAGAGGTTTGCTGCGATCAGGCTGCCCAGCGCATGGCGGCCATGGAGAAGTCTCTGGAGCAGCTCCGGAAGGAGGCCACTTGACAAACGCGTCCCCAGGTTCGAGGAGTGCGCTCTTGGCTGCGCTCAGTTCAGGTCAAGGATGCCTACAGGAACTCTCTTGTCGACAAAGGCAGCGATGCATCAGAGGAGCACTTTGCCATGGGGGCCCTCCCAGGAAGACCCGGAAATGCTTAACATTCTCAGGAGGAGATCGTGAAGCTCAAGCAGCAGCTCAAGATGAGTGCCCAGCTGAGCAACGGCCCAGCGACAGGGCCTGGCATCGCCACTGAATTCAGGTGAAGAACAGCGGGTGAAGCTGGAGGAGATGATTGCGCAGCGCACCTCCCAGCATCATATACCCGAGCGTCTGGCGTCCGGGGCCATCTCCGCATGATGGCGCGCCTGTTCAAAGGTTGAAGAAGCAGTTGCAGCCCGAGCCCGAAGTTGGATTTGCAAGGGTACTGTAAGCAGTGCAATCAGTGTAAGCCTTTTGCTGAAGCAATCGGGCAGACAAAACTTGGAAAGTGCAGATCACTCCAGTGGCTATGTCGGCAATGCTTTACATGCAGGGTCTCGGGTCGTGCTGTCTCTCTCTCTCTCTCTCTGGCATGAGTGAGGCGAAGGGCTTGTTTTGCTTCCGACCGGGTCAAGATCACTTCGTCGTCTGGCCTTGGCTCTGCAAAGCAACAAACTTCCGAGCGCTCCTGCATCTACCGGATACCAGGTATCTCGAAGGGGAAGATGCTCTTTTGTGGGGCGGGGAGAGCTTTCTTGCGGCATTGGAGATCTGGTGAAGTCTGCGCCCGGAAACCGCGTCCAAGTATTTCCAGGTCTTTGTTCCACTTCAACGGGTCCGCTAAGTGTCCGACTCTTTGCGTTTTGGCTGCCATGGCTGCGTTGCAGTCCAAGGTTCAAGGGCGGATGCGCGGAGAAAGCTCCAGACTCTGATGTAGTCATGGAGTAGCGGAAGTGTTCGGAGCAGAGCCCGGAATCGATTAGCTGAGCAGGGGTCCGCGAGGCCATCTGTCAGAGTGCCTGCCCGTCGTTCTCTAAAGATGTTAAAGTTGCATGTGATCTTGGCCAGGCTAGTTGGTGGGCTTTTCGTCTTGCCTTGCTGCAGACACTGTTGCTAAACGGCTTGCCTGGCGTCGACTCGTCGTGGACGTGTGTTGATGCATGCCCAGTCGTAGGCCATACAAAAACAACTTCGCCGGCTTGTGTTTCGAGCTTAACGGTAGGCATGCGTGCCCAAAGCAACTGCGGACATGAGGAAGCACAAAACAAAACTGCACTCAGCGAGTGTCGATGTGTTGCAGGGTGTTGTAAGCCTGCTGTTTGCCTTGACAGTTTCATTTCATGTCTCCGGGCCTGTGGCCACTCGTGACCTTCGTCTTTTGCAGAATCTTCAATCTGTTCTGCAGACTGCTGGCAAAGGCAGAGGTTAGCGTGCGCCCCGAGGCAAGCGTCGGCTTCTGGAGACGCCTCCGCGCAGCTCAGTGTCTTGGCAAGCGCTCGGTTTTGCTGCCTTCTTGCCCGAAGTTTCCTCCTCTTAGTCCTCCTTTTGTGCTGAGATGCCGAGCTTCAAGCGGCCGGGAGCCCATCGCAGAGCGTCCTCGAGGACTCTGCAGACCTCTAGACCTCTCATCCGCTCTCCCTCGAGGCGCGGAAGCGGATCGAAGACCTGGAGAACCGGCTGAAGGAGGCCTGAGATCTGAGCGTCTGTGACCAAGTTTGGGCCCAGAAGCAACCTTCTCTCAAGGCCCAGAAGGAGATTGCTGCCTTGAAGAAGCAGAAGAGCCCCGCATTCATCCCAGCCAAGAGCCGCTCGATCGTTGCCTGCATCGCCTGCGCCGGGCAACAAGGCTCCGGTAAAGACGGAAGGAAAAGCTACGGTTTCAAGACTCAGCTTAGCCGCCGTTTTTGGAGAACTTCGCGCGCGGCGCTCTGCGCCTTTTTCTTTCTCTTGAGGTCGACGGCGAAGCCTTCCGCAGACTCAGTGCGGAGTTGGAGGAAGAAGCCATAAGCCTCATCGCATAAGCACAACGCTAGCCCTGCAGAGGAAGAGCGGCGCAAGCGGGAAGAGCTCGAGGAGCTGCTTCAAAAAGCTCAGGACTCCGCCGCTGCGGGGCGGGGGTCGGGGTGAAAGCAGCTCCCCAAAACGCGCAGGAAGAGATCGAGCTGCTGAAGAAGGACCTCGACGCCGAGCGGAAGAAGGCGGGGGCGCCTTGGGGGTTTCTGCGGGTGCAAACGTGGGCTGTCGCGGGCTTCGCCGCTCGGAGGCCGCCGAGCTGAGCGCGGAGCTGAAGCGGCTGCAGCAGCTTGACGCCGCGAGCCGAGCTCCCGCCGCCAAGTCGAAGGGGCTCTGAGACGCGCTTTCCGTCAGGGCAAGAAGCCGGAAGTTCTCCAAGAAGTGCAGCAGGCCGAAAAGAGAAGGAACCCTGGGCTCTGGGCTCCGACTTAACTGCGGTCCTGGAGGTAAGCATCCCGGGCGGCATGACGGATGAGCAGGTGCGGCCCGGACCTTCCTTCTGCGATTACGCAGCCTTTTTTGAAGGACGCCTTTGCATTGTAAAAAAACCTTTATGCATGGTAGCTGGATAAGAAAGAGCAGATGCGCAGCTCGTCTCTTCTGCTTACATCGCATGACTTGTTCAGCTGGCGGAGCTGGAAGAGCTACGGGCGAAAGCAGCCGAGCTCGAGAAGTTGAAGGCGAGGCGGATCTAGGCGGCTAGGGCGGCTAGGCCTCTCCACTTCTCTTCTTCATCCACAGGCGAAGCTGAAGAAGCGTGACGCACAGATCGCTGCTCTGCAAGAGGCTCTGAAACGCGTCGCTGTCGCCCTGTCTTTGCTCATGCTGTTGCCCTGGCTCGGAGGAGAACGACAAACTGAACGAGGAGCAGATGCGGCTGCTGAAGATGCTGAAGCAGGCGCCGGTGTGCCGGAGCGGGATCGGGATGGGGTCGGGACGCCGGCCGTGTTGCGACGGGGAGTCTGGGGGCCTTTGGAGGTCCGGGAGCAGCTGCGCATCGTCATGGAGCTGGCGGAGAAGAAGGGTCTGGGCGCGGAGCTAAGGGTATAAGGAGAAAAAAAGAGGACATGATGCCTACCATACCGGGGCTTCTGGCCCGAGCTGGAGCCCAGGGGATGTGATCAAGAAGCTCTTCGAGGAAGCCGGTGCCAGCAGCCCAGCCTAGATGGTGTCGCGCCCCGGCGTCATTTATTCCCAGACTGCACACCGGCACGACGCCCCCTCGCCAAGTTGGGCACCACCATGTCTGATCCGGACTACACGTGCTTCGATCGACTCTACGACGATGCCCTCAGGCCCGTGGAATCCGAGACCGGCCGTCGTCTGATCAGACCTTCACCGCATGCAGGCGGATGGACAAGCAGCGCCGTCTCGAGTGGTACCGCCTCGGGAACACCGGTGAGCCTCCGCCATCCTTCAAGGCGAGGCGAGCGCATTTCTTCTGGAAAGCGTCCTTTTCACGATGTCCCCCATCAGAATTGCATGGAACTCTTGGGCATGGCTCAAGCATGAGTTGCAGAGGGGGGGGCGCCCATGCGCCCACATAATTCACCACCATGCAGCTATGGTGACGCGAAACGGCGGCGCGGCTGCGGCGCGACCACCTCAGACTGGTCACCTATACAAGCGGCTCACAGCGGCTTTGCCCGATATCCTGTGCGAGGCCGTGGAAGCGGCTGCAGCAGCCGCGAACCCAGACAGAGCCCAGAAGAGCACGGCCGCGGTACGTGAAACGACATGTGTTGACAGATCCTTCGAAGGTTGCGCCGTTTCTGCATCCAGGGCTCTGCCGCCTGGAGCTTGACATCGAGCGGGCGTGTGCAGACCGCAGACATTGCGGGTGACAAACGAACCCTCGACATATCACTAATCCTATTTACGAATATGCCCCTGCCATCTTTTCCGCCTCGAACCAACCATCAACTCCCGGCCGGACTCATGCTGCCTGGACTCATGCTGCCTCTCCTTCAAGGATTGGGGGCCGGTTCCGATATGACCATAGACTAGACGCGCTTGGATGCCGTGCCAGAGGGAAGGGAGCTCTCAGCCAGACGGCCTGGGACACAAGACTTCCTCCACTTTCTCCTGCAGAAGAGGGCTCGAAGCCAAGACCGCCCCCCGGCTCACCTCTGCTGGAGCGGCCGAAAGAAGGTGCCCGAACGTGGCCCCTTTTCTGCCTTTTCTCTTCGGCGAAGGGGGGAACGGGAACCCATCATAGGATTCACTTCGCAAAAGGCCAGCCTTGGCCTGAGCCTTTAGCGGAACTCAAATGGACACCATCCTGCAGGTAAGGCGGCGCCCGACAGGGTGAAGCTGCATAAACCACCTTCTTAGCCTTGAGCCCCTGAACGAGGTCCGCCTTGGACTGGGCCTCGGTAACAGGACAGAGGGGGCCTAGGGCACCAAAGGGAAACCCAAACCCCAAAACCCAGAAACAACCCCAAGCCCCACTCGCACTGTGCATTTGCTCCGAGCCTTGAGCCAACCTCTGCGTGCCATCCTTGCGTAGGGGCTTGTGCTTCAAGTGAACATGCGAGCTTCAAGCATGCAGTTCGTCGTGCTCTACGCAAACAGCGAGTTTCGAGAGCATACCGAACGTACTAGCTTGCTCTGCTTGCTCTGCCTCTTCTCACCCCAGAGACTCGAGGTTGCAGGCTCTGCTGTGTAGCGACTGTCTACGGAGAAAAAGACGGTGGATAGGGCCTTCTCCAGCAAGCCTGAACCAAACCTGCATCGTTCATTGATCCCAAAAACCCTCTGTTCCAAAACATGCTGCTCGTCGGTAGCCATCCCAGGCGGCGTGCGAAACGAGCAGCAACTGTTTGCAAGAGAGTTGATCATTCGAAGTACGACGTTCCGGTGATGTCCCGCATGTTTTGATCTGCAGCTGCTCTTGAGGGTCTCGTTGTCCTGTTGGGGCCAGTGAGGCAAAGCTTGCTTGGACCAGAGGCGTGGCCAGGGTGTCTTCGCCAGCAAGCGGGCTTCCCGG